GCGACCAGTCCATGCGAGCTTGTATGGCAGGGTAGAGGCCACGTGACACCGACCCGCACCAGCCAATTACTCCTCACGGTAGAACGCTCATAGGGAGCGCCTCTAAAACGTTGGGCCTGGGCAGCCACTGCTCCGACTGCCGGCTGCTGAGTGCCTCCGAAAAGTCAGGCCCCTGCAGATTAGGTTCAGAGAAGCAAGTAAATGCTCCGTGCTTTGGAAGCCTTCCCCTCCCCACCCCAGCCACGTGCCCTCCCTTACAGCTCTGCTTCGCTGCAGCAGGCCCAGAGGGGGTTAATTCTTTGGGCAGGTGGGGAGACACAGACAGGCCTGTTATCTCCACCTCCTCTAGTGCTAGAGTCCCCCGTTTGGATGGTGGCCATGGGGCCATCTCGGATGCTTGGTTAGCCCCTGGAAGAAGATACCTCAGTACGGGAGGGTGGTGGAAGACCACCCACCAGAGAAGGTAGGTTGGGATATGTGTGTGTGTTGGGGGGGAGGACAAGGGGGAATGAGGGGAGAACATCAGGGTCATATTGGGGCCCTGCCCAGAGGATGCAGACACTTTTAGATGTACATGCACCCGCTAGTTCAACTACGAATGATCAGGCTCCGTGTCGGGATCCCTGAGTCAGTTCTGTGGCTTATCTTATGCGGGAGGTTGGAACAGATAGTTGGGCTGGGAATCGAGGGGGCCTGATCCTCAGTTGGTATAAATTGATGTAGCCCCATGGATGTCATTGGGGCGATGCTGATAGGGGCTTCGACCCGATGATCCTTGCGGTCCCTTCTAACCCTGTGATTCTATGATTTCCCCCTGGCCTTAAGAATCCATCAAAACACACATGCCCAGAGGGCCCGGCCTTGCAGTGATCAGCCTGGCTTACCCAAGAGAGCGAGCGAGCATGTTCTGGGACACACGAGTGTCGCAATGGGGCGTGGCAAATACCGTGCTAGAAACAGAATGAGCCTTCCAGGGCAGCATAGCCTGGATTGTGCTGGTACTTAGGAGCCCAATGCATTATTAAACAATCCATGTGTGAGCCTCTAGGGCTCCGAGGGTGCCAAGGAGCAGGCAGCGTGGATTTATCCAGAACAAATCATCCCACACCAGCCTGCGTTTGCTCCTTTGACAGGGTGGCCGGCCTAGTGGACGGGGGGAAGCTGGAGACATGGATTTCTGGCTGACATGGCATAAGATGCATGAACTTCACGGGGGGCGAAGGAGGTGCACAGGTGTGAGAGGAGCACCTGGCCCAGGGGCTGACGAGTGTCAGGGGAAAGGCCGGCTGGCTGCATGCGTCCGTCCCCTGAGGTAACGTTCAGCATTCAGCCCATTCCAAACCCTTCCTCGTGTAGCCTCCACCCCATCACCGTCACTGCTCTGGTCACTCCGGGCTTCCGATCCGAGGTGCATAGCGCGCCGGGGACCCAAATCTGCTACCTGGTTCCAGCCCTTGGGGCAGGATGTGTGTGTGTGTGTGTGTGGGGGGGGGGGGATTAGCTTTTGGCCCTGCCTGGCTCCTGGGGTCAGTTAGAGCAGCCTTAATGCTGCTCTAATTTGTGCTCTGGTTCTCCCAGGCCACAGCACTGCTCCCATCCCCAGGCCAGCGGCAGTGAGCAGGGTGGGCTCTTTTTTCCTGCTGCAGTGACTTACAGGGGGTGTAACTCAGAATCAGGCCCTCGTTATGTCTTGCTTCCTTCAGTGCCGACTAGAAAAGGGCTCAGGGCCCCGCCCAGCCTAAGTGGCGGCAGAACAACACACGCACACACGTCCCTCAGTGGGAAGCTGATGAAATTAGCAGATGACAAAAATAGACACCAGGAGATGAGTCTTTTACACACTGCACAATTATCCCGTGAAGTTCATTGCCCCAGGGGACCATCGAGGAACGTCGCCTCGCCCCATTCGGAAATGGAGCCGATGTTCACCAGAATCATGAGACCAGCATCTGCTGGAATAAAAAATGTGGGTCACCAGCCCTCATGCTTCAGGGCATGAACAGAGCTCCAGGTAGGGTCAGGAAGGTGTTCTCCTCCTTCACTCCATGCTATGGGACTGCACAGCTGTGGAGGGAAGGGTGGTTCTGTGGTTAAGGTCACAGACCTGAGCCTCAGAACAGCTGGTTTCTACATCTGGCTCTGGTTTTCTGTGCTGCTTCTGAGCAAGTCGCTTTAATGGCTCCATGCCTCGGTTTTCCCACCCATAAAATGGGGCTTATAACAGTGCCATGGCTTGCAAGGGTGTCATAAAGCCTCGGTTGTCAGTCAGGGGGTGTGGAACTTGGATGCAAACATGGATTCAGATTTTTCCCAACTTTCAGTGGTGTTTGGATCAGGTCAATAAATCGCAGAGACCCCAGGCCCACTTCACCTCTGCCTGATAAGCTTTCACTCCTGCTTTGCACGGATGTAAATGACCACGCAAGGCGCTGGGCTACAGAGAGTCAGACCCGCCATCGTCTTACCCTGCCTAGGGCAACGGAGGGCCCAATCCTGCAGGGTGCTGAGTGCCTTCAAGTCCCGTTGAAGTCAGTAGGGCTGCAGTGTGCTTAGCCCCAGGCAGAACTGGGACAGAAGCTCCTCGTGTGGTTTTGAGAGGTCCCTCCAGGAGTAGAAAGGGGTGCATAGTGTGGCCTTTCAGAGCTTGAGTCTCATCTCACTTGCATGGGTGCAAATCAGGCCCGCTACATCGCAGTGCAGGCAAAGGGCCAAATTCTACTCTCATTTACATCATTGTAAATCCAGCATAACCCCACTGACTTACGCAGAGTGACACTGGAGTGACACCATTGCCACTGGGAGCAGGTGCTGGCTCCTGGTCTTTGGGTCAGGTGCTGAGCTGCTGTAACTCGATGCCAACGGAGCCATGCTGCTCTACCCTGGGTGAAGCAATGCCGCCATCCACTCCTCCATCCTGCCATGAAGCCGCTGGACCACGCTCGCCTGCAAGGAGGTCACCAGTTCGTTTGAGCTCCTTCCTGGAGAGCGTGTCGGAATGCCCCTGCGACACCGAGCTCTGGGGGCACCCGGGGCTGGTCCTTCCTTGGTGTTCGTTCGCCCCATCAGCTTGAAGCCAACGCACATACCAACCCCCGCCCCAAACCCAAACCATTGTCCTCCCTAATAGATGTGGTCAGGACACCAGTCCCATCCTAAGAACATAAGAACGGCCGGACTGGGTCAGACCAAAGGTCCATCCAGCCCAGTATCCTGTCTACCGACAGTGGCCAATGCCAGGTGCCCCAGGGAGTGAACCTAACAGGTAATGATCAAGTGATCTCTCTCCTGCCATCCATCTCCACCCTCTGACAGACAGAGGCTAGGGACACCATTCCTCACCCATCGTGGCTAATAGCCGTTCATGAACTTCACCTCCATGAATTTATCCAGTTCTCTTTTAGGATCTGATTTGTCTTCATCCACTTACTCAAACAACGGAGAAACCGTCCCAAGGTGGACGCGGAGCAAGCGGGTTACAAGACATTTCTAGGCATGCAGGAGACACCCCCCCGATTTTGACACCACGGCAGATCGGAATTGCCTCCCGCCGTGCGTCTCGGTTAGCTCTGTAGCTTGCTCCTATCGTGTTTCATGCCAACAGCATCCTTAACAAGTACAAAGCAAAGCGCTCTTCAGAAATAACCCCTCCCCTGGGCCGCGGGAATCCTTCTGAGAACAATCCCACGCTCGCCATCCTGGGGTCTTTCCCCACATTATTTCGAAAATGAACTCAGGGCTGCTGCACGGTGCTGGCGGTCTGGCCCTGGAGTCTGTTTATCCAGCACGCAGGACCAGGCCAGGCCCCCTTGGTGAACGCTTCCCTTAAACTGCCTCTCACCACTGGCCTGGCAGGGCGGCCACATACGTCTACACGGCACACTCAGGCCAGGCTCTGACTCGGGTTTGAGCCCAAGTCCCACTTCTGTCCCAACACAAATCAGTCTTGGGTCAGTGAGGACTCAGGAGCCAGGGTCCTCAGACCTGGCAGGGGGGTGGGTCAGAGCCCGAGTCCGGCTGTGATTGGAGTCCGAGCCCTGTCACTCGGCAGGGGGGACACAACTGAAGTGCAGACCTGAGTCGGGAGGGCTGCGCGGTGGAGTGTGCACACATCAGCACGGACCCGGGTCCAGCCATTGTGAACCCAGGTTTAAAATGCAGGGCGGGTGCTCGAGTGCAGGGTTAGAAACACTCTGTCCACAAGCCCGGGTCCCACAGGCCCAGGTTCGGTGTGCTGGGCAGGCATACCATTAACAGCCTGTGGATTATTAGATAGCCCCCCCTCCCTCTCTCTATCCCCATGCACCTCGCTCTATCTATCTATCTATCTATCTATCTATCTATCTATCTCCATCCACCCCATCTATCTATCTATCTATCTATCTACCTATCTCCCTCCCCTCCATCTATCTATCTATCTATCTATCTATCTATCTATCCTCCCTCTTTCTCCTCATTCTGCCTTTATTACTGTTGTGTGAAGTGCTGCTTTTAATGAATTATCCAATTGCCACTGAAAGGAACATGACTGCAAGTGGAGAAAACATTACTGGAGACACAGGTGCTGTTTCAGCCAAGCCCCAGCCCTGACTCAGAGTCCAGGCTCATTTCCCAGTACAGTGGGACGAACGGGACGGGACTGACACAGGCCAGACTGGGGGGTGGGCGGTGGCAGCCTGTTGGAGAAGGCAACTAATGTAAGTTTCTGCTGCCGCCTGGTGGTAAAATACAGCCAGGGCTGTGCTTGGCAGAGGGCCTCTGTCTATAGCTTTGATGTGCTAAGCGCAGCGTGACTTATAAGGGAAACGTTAAAGCGCCTCACTTATGCAGGTCCTTTGATCAGGGCCCATAGGTCTTATCCTGAGCCCTTTTGGCCTCCCTTGCACAAGAGCCCAACGTAGGGTGACCAGAGAGCAAGTGTGAAAAATTAGGATGGGGAGGGGGAAATAGGGCCCTATATAAGACAACCCCCCTAATATTGGGATGGTCCCTATCATATCGGGATGTCTGGTCACCCTAGACCAATGGAGCCCTCTCTGATCTTGAGCAAGAAGGGCCAGGTGCAGCCAGTGGAGGATTCGCCCTGCATCCAGGAGCCCTTGGGTGCTAACTCTCATGGTGTCAGCTATGTTAACCCCTTCCTGGCTGCCGGTGCTGAGGAAAGGGGTGTGTGGCCAGGGCATCCCTGCACCTCAGTGATCTCTGGCTGCGTTAGTGGGCAGTTTAGAGCAGCCCTTAGACTGCTGTGTTCTGTACCAAGGGACTGGCCTGGGGCCGAGCTGGTGGGATCAAGGAGCGGCTTAAAGCTTCCTCGCTCTCCCGCCATGTCCGCGGTCTGGCAGTAAGAGTGGCTCAGGCAGACAGGCGTAGCTGGGCTCAGCTTCCCAGGAGGGAGGTGATGGGCCCTGCCAGCCTCTTGCCACAACGTGTCCCGTTGCTGGCTCAGCCAACCAGGAATGAACCCTGGAGTCTTTTACTCTGGGCCACCTGTCTGAACCCAGCTCAGAGCTAGATTTGTGACCGTATTCCTGCAAACCTGTAAAATGGGGATTCCCCGGAAGGGGGCAGTGATGGGAACCTTAATTAACGATGGTCCGAGCCCCCACTCGGCGGCGTTACCTTGGCCAAAATGGATGAAACGTGCTGGAGCATCTCAAATCTTTGGAAAGTGCAGATGGGTCAAAGTGACTGTATCTGGGAGTGTTTCGAAAGAGCCGTTGCACTAAAAGGCCTATGAAGATCCATAGACCATTATAATTTCTTTGTTTCCTGATGCCTACTGAATCTCCCAGTGTTTTCTTACACTCCCTCATTAACGCTTTCATTGAACAGGCAAAATAACAGAATTTTTCTTCCTCTTTTTCTCATAAAAGCTGATTAAACCCTTCCCAAATAGCCCCTGTGTTTTCAAGGATAAATATAGCTCCTTGCACTGACTGGCATGTCATTGTTTCTGTTCCAGCCAGAAAACCCCTTCTGTCCTCCGTTCCGTGACATCATGGTCCACGCCCACGCCAAAGCCGGTGTTTCAAGACGTGTGCACTTGCCAGCTCTCACCCTTCTCTCCTGAATCACAACACACCATTTCCCGGCCAAGGGACTTTTTCCTTCCAGTGCTGTTTCAACATCTCCTTTCTCCCTCACGTCCACAGCCAATAAAAAGCGACACGTCCCTCTGTGCCTGCAGAACAAAGGCTCGGGGAGTTCGAGCGAGACCCAGGTAAATACTAGATGCTTTTTCGCAGCTCCCTTGCTCTTTGTTTTGCTTTGGCATTTCCACCCCACCCTTTCCTTCCAGGCTCAGCTCAGCAAGGCTCAGGGTTGCTGTCACACGTGATGGAGCCGTTCAGACTGCACTAGTCAAGGGCTCCTGTGGTATATCTGTGTAATAACCCATGCCAGAGGGTTATTACCCATGCTAGAACCCTCTAGTGGCCGGTTCGTGTAAGCTACCTAGGAGCCAGCGGTTGCCAGCCCTTTCGCCGAAGCTGCAGCGTCTCATGCTTTGAACTCGGTAGGTCACAAGGGCTCATTCCCTGCTGTCCGCCTAAGTACAGCGGGTCACATTTGCGCCAGTTACTGACTCCTCTGTCTACCTTGCTGAGAGTCAGAAAGTTGCTGCAGGTGTTTAAGAACATGGGGAAAGGCCCGAATTTCCGGGGACTTGAGCCCATGGGAGTCAGGGTCATCTCCCCACTGCAAACTCCTCTGGCTGCCTAGTGACTCTGGGCGTCAGGATTTTATCTGGGGTGCCGCAAACCCCCCAGAACACAGGCGCACGCCCTGTAAGCGTCAGAGTGCTGGCCGGGTCTCGTGGTGAGGCTGGAGGACCAGAACTGGTGTTTGAATCAAGGCAGAGTCTCCTGAGAGCAGGGGTAGAACTGGGCCAGAATTCTCCGACAACATTTTTTTTTGGGTCATAAAATGCCGATTGGTTGACACAGAAGCCCCCGGCTGCTACCGCCACCACCGGCAGTGCAGTGGGGCTAAGGCGGCTTCGGGGGGGGGTCTCCACGTGCTGCCCCCGCCCCGATTGCCGACTCCGCAGCTCCCATTGGCTGCAGTTCCCGGGAGCTGCAGGGGCGGTGCCTGTGGGCAGCGGCTTGCAGAGACCCCCCAACCCCCCTGCCTAGGAGCCGCTACCAGAGGGGTGTGTGGGTCGCTTTCGGGAGCCGCCCGAGGTAAGCGCCTCATCCTCTCCCGCACCCCTGCCCCAGTCCAAAGCCCGCACCCTGCACCTCACACTCAAACTCCCTCCCAGATCCTTAGGCAGGTGTGTGTGTGTGTGGGGGGGGGGGGGGGCGGGACTTGGACCCATTCTGGGCACCACCAAAAATTATACAAACCTGCCGCGCCTGGAGTTAGATACTTGAGCGTGTTGTCTGGATTTGGCTCGGCTACCCAGAAGCCTTTGAGAGGGGTCTGTTGGGGGGCGTGTGCTAATCAGGGACAGGCAGAGGTGAGATGCCGTCAATCTGTGACTAGTTAGCTGTGCGGGGGACATGCCCATATTCCCATAAGCACTACTGTGAAGATCCAGCGTGCTTTCTGGGTTAAATTCACCCTGGGCCAGCAGGAGGCTATGACCCACATACGATCCACTGTGGCTAAGGCCTCAGCTGAAAGGGGGAAACTGAGGCAAGGTTGAGGCTTGCTGCGGCTAAGATCCCAGCCAAAATAGGGGGAAACTGAGGCAGTTAAGGAGTACCGTGTGATATGCAATTCTTACCCCAGGGTGGGCAAAGTCCAAGAGACCTGTGCAGTAGCTGTGAAGCCGCTGCCTATCACATAGAACCCATTTTAGCGGGCAGCTGTGGCAAGACTGAACCGTGCCTTGGTTTCCTGTTTCAGCCACACTGGGAGTTCTGTGGTGCACAGGCCTCGGGCCAGTCCCCCGCCCAGGCGTGAAGTTTGACCTTCGGAACCTGAGCACCACGCTGCTCCCAGAGAGCATTCTCCGCCATCCACCAAGAGCCGCACGCTGAGTCTTGTTCAGACGAGCTCGGCTGTGAGTGCGACGCTGCGCCTGCCGGGACTAAGTGCCTCTCATTAGCGAGCAGAGCAGGCGCTTTAGCAGCTGACCCCATTTAGTTATCCACAGAAAGGACGGCCTGAATACTTCCCCCTTCCTGTCCGAATGAAACCTCCCGTTCCAGGCCCGGGTGCCAGGCAGTTCTACAAGGGTCAGTGGGAAGAAATCCCAGGAACAGAGCCCCAGCTGAGCCCCCATGTTTGCATAGTGTTTGTCCTGGCCCCCCAGTAGTGACTGGTCCACTAGAGGATAACAGCCTACTACTGCTCCCCGCTAAGGGAGGTGAAGTGGGCGTGGTCTATGGCCTGGTGCTAGAGGTTGAAATCCAGCTATCAGGTGGGGTGTTACACTGGGACGGCTGCTACCAGAGCTCAGGGACTGTTGTCTTGTAACCCGTGGTGAATGTGCATGGCCGGGCCCTGCCCTCCATGTCTGATCCATGGAGGACAGGCATCTCTTACAGCCCTAGCAACTAGGGAACCCTAGCTCCTGGCTTTAGTTCCAGACCCTCACTGGTTCAATTCCTGGAGTGGCAGCCCAGGGGCCGTTTCAGTAGCCGCTGTGGCTATTGTGTTCCCACATCCAGGGGAACTTGGCTGCTGGTTCTGGGCCCTGCGCAAAGACTCCTCTTGTGAGCCGGCGTGGCACTGGCTGGCTAGGAAGGAGAGTGCAATGGTTAGAGGGGAAGCCTAGGACTCAGGGGACCCTATTCCAGCTCCCTGCTCTGGCACAGATTTCCTGCCTGACCCTGGGCAAGTCACTTAGTCTTTCTGGGCCTCACTTCCTCTTCTGGGCAATGGAGCTAACAGCCCTGTCCCGCCTCGCGACGGGGTGGGGAGGATAAACGCATTACAAATAGCAGGGTGCTGCCATCCCAGTCAGGGCCTAGACTGGCTGGGGAGTGGCTGAGTCACCAGCAGGGCTGGGCGGATGAGCCAGAGAATCAGGAAGTTGGGTTTGTGGGGTTAGGCGCTGCCCTGATTCCAAACATGCAGCTCAACCCGATACTTAGAGAGAGAGAGAGAGAGAGAGAGAACTTGTAGTCAGGTTAGAGAATCCGCCCGTTCCTCTCCACAGGGACTAGAGAAATAGTGCGTTTGTTTCAACAGTGTCATTCTATGTGGCACCCTGTGGATTCCATATCGAGATCCCCATCGGAAAGGACAGACAGCCATCAGCTCTGGCGTCGGTCCTCTCCGAAAACCGGCGTTCTAAACTTTGCAGAACTCCTGGTCACATTCACGAGAGCCGATCGCACAGACTCCCTGACGAGGGCTTCTTTCTGTGGCTGTGATTGGAGCTGTATTCAAGCAGTCGACACTATTGAAAGCTTCTCTTTTGTTGTGAACATTTTCACGAGTTAGAATTGCGTTAGGAATGTTTATTGACCAGAAGCCGGGTTTTTGGTACATTTCAGTAACGATTTGCTTCAAAGTGCCATGAAAAATGTTGCCAAAAAAATAGAAAATGGATCCACTCTGAACCCCGCTGAACACAAACAACGTTGACATTTTGCAAATTTTCCCCAAATTGTTTTTCTAATGTTTTTGACGGGCTGTTGAAAAGCAAGGCAGAGGCTCCAAAGTCAAGGAGGTGTTGCAACGCGGAGCTGAGAACCCCTAAATACCTTTATAAAGCAGGGCCCATGGGCAGGGCCTGTGTTTTCCTATGGGTTTGACCGGCTCCTACCACAGCAGGTTCCTGATGATAGCTGTAGCCTTTGGGTGCTACTATACCATTAATAACTAGCATTCCAAACTGTGTCCTGGTGCATTCTCAGCATCCTGCCAAGCCAGACTGACGAGATGTTTGTTTCCACCCTAATGGAGGGGGGCATGTGGGTTGGTTGTTTACCCACAGGAAGGCTGTTGGGTTGATAGAGTTGTTTTCTTCTCTAGCCCTAGGAATATACCTAGGTCCTGTTGCCATTAATGTTTGTCATGTCTTATGTCTTTGGATGCCCGTAGGTACCTTTGGTCCATACAGCAAATCACAAACAGCAGCATTATTATCACTAGCTATAATCTCACTTGCATTGGCTTGGGAACTCGGGGGGAAATTCTCCCAGTGGGCAGAAGGTCCGTGCATCACTCAAGCCCTGTTTGGAAGGTGGAAGTGAAGCCTGGGCCTTGAGCTGCCTCTCCGTGCACACCCGAATTCTAGGTTACGATCAGGGGCAAAACACAAGAGGGGGGAAATCCATCCTTGGTGTAACTCCGCTGATATCCATCCAGCCACGCCGCCGACAACGTGGCTCTGTGTTTTGGACTTTATCGTTTGTCAGTTTCTTTCCCTGCATTGATTTTGCTCCTTGGAGCACTAGAAGTTTTTTTCTCCTGGTGTAAAGTACAATATTTGTTCCCAGGTCATTGTCAAGCTTCTTGTTTGGAGATTTTAACAGAAGGCCCCACAGGATGTTCAGGCTGGCCGTGTTCCTCTGTGCTCTGTGTGCTGTCTCATGGGGTGAGTCCAGGGTTTATCTTACCCCCAGTTCTTTCAGTGACTTGGCATGGGCAGGCAGAGCGTTGGGGTGGGAGCCAGCAGAAGTGGGCTCTGTTCTTGTCTCTACCAGTTTCTCGGTGTTTGACTGAGACCAAGTCGCTTCACCGCCCTCAGTTTCTCCTTATCTAAAGCAAGAATAGTAATGTAGCAATGCACGTCTGTTCAGCCGGGTACGTGGCACAAAGTCATACAAAGGAGAAGCTGCCCAGAATGTAGCAATCAGGAAGGCTATTAGGGGTGTCTTTAACTTTTTGGTAGTGACAGTCACTGAAATGTCAGTAACTTATAGCGGGGTTTTATGTCAGGGAATTGGAGGAAGCAAAAATCCCAAGAATTGGTACTTGGGCCGCTCAGCATTTACACATGGGTTCCACAAACAGGCCCTAAGACAGGATTATCCATTGGACATCGAAACTATCTGGCTCCGGCGTGACGGGGCGTTCAGAGAGCACTGCCGGCCCAGGCAGTGACGCAGCCTGAGGCTGATGGCTGCTGCATCCCTTCGGTTCATCTTTCTCTCTCTCCCTCCAGGGTTTCTCTGCCTTCGCATTGTCACCCCAGGCAAATGGGGCGGCCGACCCGCCAACTGCTCTTCGCCTCTCAAGGCAGTGCAGACTGGGTACGTCATTGTCCTCCACACGGCCGGCGGCAGCTGCAAAACGGGGGCTGAATGCAACCAGCAGATGACGAATATCCAGCATTACCACATGAACAACAAGGGCTGGTGCAACATTGCCTACAAGTAAGAGGCAAAAGCACATTCTCTGGGCCCCGATCCAGCGGAAACGTACGCATGTGCACTAGCGTCTAAGAGAGCTCCGATGCTCAGTAGCGTAGCTAGTGCACATAACCAGCTTCATGCAGTAGCTTTTGCTTTTCACTCAAGCTGATTCTGGTCAAGAGATGAAGAAAATGCAGGAGAAATCTGTATAATACAAGCCAATCTTTTCAAAGTTGAAAGCCTAGAATTAGGCATCTAAATCCATGTTTAGGCAGCTAAATAAGCTACTGTAGGCTCCCAACTTCGGGAATGTTGGTCTTATTTTTTTTAACTAATCACCATGAATCTATAACAAGGGATTCAACTCATTTAATGTTTTTGTTATTTAAAAAAAAAACATCGGCTCTGCCCTCAGGAATAAAGATTCCCCCCTCCCATCCAGAAAACACTTGCAAAGAAAATGAATGTTTCACCTGCAGAGCTGGGGAATGCAAACAAACAAACAAACAACAAATTAGTGGGACTTATCCAACATTTTTTTATTTTTTGTTGACATTTCAGAATTTCAAAATAATGTCAAAATATCTCAATCGCCAACAAAATTCCAAGCAGCGCTAGGATAGGTAGACAATCCCCACGCATTTCTATGAAAATATTTTGGTGACGTTACAAAAAAAATGATGACGTTTCTATTCATAAAATGTTCAGAAACTTGTTCAGAAACTTTCGCCCAGCTCTGCTTTTCAGATCCTTACCCGCAAATCTGCCTTTGCTGTGGATTTAAGCTGCGATCTTCCAAACCTGCTTTTGCTGTTTGGATACCAATGCTAGCAGGGTGACGGGTGGCGGCGGTATAAAGGTAGAATTCTGGTTAAAACGAACGGCAATTAGATGTACGGCTCTCTAGGCAGCCTTAAGGTGAAAACCTCAGCTGTAGCACTGATGGCAAATTTTGGATTAGAAACATTTCCTTTCCCATCCCTGCAGCTTCCTGATTGGTGAGGATGGGAAGGTGTACGAAGGCAGAGGCTGGAATACAGAAGGCGCTCACACTTATGGTTACAATGATATCTCTCTGGGCATTGCCTTTATGGGCGACTTTACAGGTAAGCGACTTTCTTGGGTCCCGTTTTCCCATGGCTCAGAGACTCGGAGATAGGAGTCACTGCAGAAGTTGGACGCTCCCAGTGGCTATGGAGATTTTGTTGAATTGATCTGGGCATTTTACAGCCATATTCAATAGGAATTGATATGGGGGGGCAGAGCTTTTGATCTGAGGATCTCCCAGCCGTAGGTCAAGTTCGGCCCCGTGCTGGGAGACAGCATCGGGCCTAGCGCATGAGAGGTGAACTCCACCCATTGTGCGAGGCGCTGTACAAACACAAAGAGCTTAAGCCCAGCTCATGTGCAGCCATAAGCCAAAAGGGACAGGACATCGCTGGGGTGAGGGCAGCTTTCTTAAAGGCTCCCAGGATATCTGCCTGCTTGGTCCCTTCCATCAGCCTGGCGCCTGTCCTGCATTCCAGACCTCCTCCCCATGACCCATGCATAGCCCTCTGCATCACTTGTGGGGGGTGGGGAGGTGAGTGGGATGGAGGAGCTGGCTGGTGATTACACTTCTTATATTTCACTGGCCTCTTGGTGAGATGACCCAAGCTGATGCGCTGCAGCCTTGCGCAGGTCTCCACGGTCCATCCTCCCCATCTCTCTCCTGAGCACCTGCTCAGAAAACGTTAGATTGATTCATGGGGCCTGTCCCGAGTCAGCCCCCAAGAGGTGAAGCCGGGCAGGTTCTCTGAGCCAAATCCCTTCCTGGTCTCTTTCAGGAAGGTCTCCCAACGCAGCGGCCTGGATAGCTTTGAAGCACCTGCTCCACTTCGCTGTCGAGAATGGCTACTTGTCTTCTGACTACCTCCTCATGGCCCACGGGGACGTCAGCAATACCATTTCTCCCGGGCAGCCCATCCGCAAGGTCCTCAAGACGTGGCCACATTATAAACACTGAGCGCCGCCAGCCTGGTGAATGACGCGCGTGGCTGTTGAAAGCCGAGGATATCTAGAGAGAGAGTTTGACTCTTAAATGTTTCGGGTTGGATTCTCAGCCCCAGTTCTGTCTGCTGAGCAGTGCACGGGGGAAACAATCTGGCTGCATCCAGCCAGTTGAGAGCCCCCCCGTTGAAATTCTGACCTGGTGTCAGACCAACAGAGCAAATTCTTCTGCCGATTGCTCAGGCACTTGAAACCCATTGATTTCAATGCATTTTAGGCACCTTGTTGCTTTTGAAAATCCTCCTAGGTACCTAAATACTTTACAAATCTGGCCCGTAGAGACCATAGCCAGCTGTGGTTAGTTAGAGCAGCCCCTAGACTGCTCTAATTTATGTCAAGGCTGGGTCTGGGCCAGCATGAGAATTCAAGGGAGATCACTGGCTCCTGACTGTCCTCTTCACCTTGCACCAAGCGTATCTTGCTGCAGGGGTAGAATGTGGCCTGTAGCAATATATATATATATTTTTTATATTTGGGTGAAATTCAGTCCAGGGCAGAGGAGCTGGCGCAAGGTTTATGGCTCATTTAAAGCACGAAGACCAGTGGTGAGGCAGGGTCAGGCACTGCGTGTTTCCAGCTTCCCTCATCTGTTTTAATTACGAAGCTGAGAAATCAGCAAAACAAACTTGGCGTAATTAAGGACACGGGCTAGCCCGGAGAAACAATGCAATAGATGAGCTCATCGTGCTTTGCTCCTCCGCTGACGATCTCCCAGCGATTTATGAGCGGTTCATTAATCCTACCTACACTCTTGCTGGGATGTAGGTCTAATTTACAGATGAGTAAACTCAGGGTCATTGACTTTCTTAAGATTACACAGCGAACCAATGAAAGAGGCAAGAATAGAACCAGAAAGTCCTAACTCCCCGTCTGTTCTCTAACCCCTAGTCTACACTGTCCTCCCAGAGCTAGGAGTAGAACCCAGGATTCCTGACTATCAGCCCCCCCGCCCCCTCTAATCTCTAGGTTCCACTGAAATTCAGCACGGTGTGTTTTCTTATCCAATCCACCAGAGGCGTGGACTCGGGGATGGAAGCATTTCTGCTCTGAGGTCATTGTGTGCTCTGTCTGGGATGGGGCAGGTACAATATGTGGGCGGCCCAAGAAAGGGAGCTCAGCGCCAACCCCATACAGAATTGTAAATAAAGTGACAGAGGCTGTATTCGAACCACGTGCTCAACTTGTGTAGCTCCTCCGCTCGGGCAGTGCCTGCTTTAGCCTCACTCCCCTGCAAAGGTTTTACAGTAGAACGAACCTCAGAGTTACAAACACGAGAGTTATGAACTGACCAGTTAACCACACGCCTCAGTTGGAACCAGAAGGACGCAATCACAGTACTGAATTAAACGTAAACCACTAAAAAAATAAAGAGAAAGCAGCATTTTAAAAGCATCTTCTGCATAGTAAAGTTTCAAAGCTGTATTAAGTCAATGTTCAGTTGCAAAGTTTTGAAAGAGCAGCCAGACCGTTTTGCTCAGAGTGACGAACAAGCTCCATGCCCGAGGTGTTCGTAACTCGGAGCTTCTCCCGTATTTGGTTCTGAAGCTAATGCGTGTCTTCTTGCCCTGCTGGCCCCCAACAATGCTGCTGAAGCCCTCTTGTCCTCACCGGCCTCCAGAAGTCCATCCCCGTCAAACCCTGACCACGTCCCTGCTCCCTGAACGAATTCTTCAGCTCCAATGAAACTAGGGTGACCAAATGTCCCGATTTTATAGGGACAGTCCCGATATTTGGAGCTTTGTCTTATATAGGCTCCTATTACCCCCAGCTCCCTGTCCCGATTTTTCACACTTGCTGCCTTGTCACCCTAAATGAAACGTGCCTGGATTCTGGCTGGGCGGCGAGGAGAGAGGGAAGAGGGGGTGGACTCCAAACCTGGAAAAGCGTGCCTGCGTTCCCAATAAACCAACCGCCCAGATGGAAACACCTCCAAAATCTGGGGTAGTGCCCGCCCTCCCGGCCAACATTTTCTCACCCAATCAATTTCTGCAGGGGTCTCGGGCATTGCAGGAACCGGGGTCTCTCCTGTTCTCTGCCTGTGGAGCCCACAGTTTAGTTTCCTGAGGGCTGAAATTACAGCAATGCAGGGCTGGATGGAACCTTGTAAAGTCATCAGATCCAGCCCCTGTGCTGAGACAGGACCAAGTAAACCTAGCCTAGACCATCCCTGACAGGGGCTTGTCCAACCTGGTCTTAAAAACCTCCAGTGGAATGTGGAGCCAACTGAAATTTGGGCTTAAGAGGGGGTATCTGGGTGAAATGTAACAGTCTGAGATATACAGGAGGGCCAGGCTAGACGATCTGGCCTTAAATTCTATGAAACTATGAACAAATATAATAATAATAATAAAAAATAAGATTAAAACTGAAGCCACGAGCCACATTGCATTAGTAGGTTACCAGGATACGCCTCGGGCATCCAAAAGGCTGTTGACTGAGTTTCAACGACGGCTGGGTGAAATGTTTAGGCCCAAACTTCTTTTGGCGACAAGGCCATGGTCAGTGAGCATGAAACGTTCCACAGCTTGGCGTCAGTTTCATTGACTTGTTCATTTTTGGGGGGGAAAAAACCCACCCCAAATTTCTGAAAAAAATCAAAACATTTTGTTTCAAAATGAAAACGTGTCAACGGTTCGGTTTGAAGCGATGTTTTGTTTCAAAAATTCTTTTAATCTGATTTTAAAAAGCATCAAAAATTGGTCAAAATCAAAACAAAAATGTTTTGATCATTCTCAAATTATTCCCCCCCCCAGCTTTGCGATTTGCCAGAAATTTCGAACATTTTCAGTTTTGGTCAGACCCAAAGCAATTTTCCCCCCTCACTTTTTGAAATTGCCAACAAACTGAAAAGCCCATTATTCACCCCGCTCTAGTTTTGATGGCTTAGTACGTTTAATTTTGGTGTGATAACTCCAGTAAAAGCTCCTGCCCACAGGCAAAGTGCAGAGGTAGGCAAATCAGCATGGATCTGCCGGCACAGGTATGACCAGCTCTGCCAACCACCTATGGTCAAAAATCATGAGTCGGGCCCTCAAAAAATCTCAAGATTGGCTTAATAAATCACGAGATTTAAGAACTACTAATAAAATCTTGGGTGATTTATATTCATTTTCTGGTTTTTAAGCCACAGTTTCCAGTTGTGCTCTGCAGCCATGATTGGCCTGTTAAACCCAGGGTTGTAAGTTCAATCCTTGAGGGGGCCACTTGGGGAGCTGGGGCAAAATCAGTACTTGGTCCTGCTAGTGAAGGCAGGGGGCTGGACTTGATGACCTTTCAAGGGTCCCTTCCAGTTCTAGGAGATGGGATATCTCCATTAATTATTATTATAAAAAAGAAGCTGAGATTCTTTTGTCATTATTTGACTCCAGGATCTGGGTGTGACCGTTCGGTGACTCTGAGTCACTTTGTTACCCCTGCTCCAGCAAGAGGGAGTTTTTCCTGTGGTGACTGAGTGTCCTCTGGGCTAGGCCAGCCCTCACTTCACCTTGGAGGTTAACAACAGCTGCATCCCAGTCCCCGAGTCCCTTTGAGTCCTTCCCCTGCGATATCCAGCCCCTGACACTGGCTACTCACTGAAATTCCAGCTTCTCTGCCCCCAAAGGTGCCGTGTCCCCCGGTTTACCAGTTTTACCTTAAACTCCCGCTCCGTAAAACACACAGCCCTTGTGAGCACTTCTAATAAACCAAGAGGAGGTTTATTAAAGTCAGAATAAGGATCGACCAGAAATAAGAGAGAGTGGCAGACACACGTGGTTACAATATGAAAGAAAACAAAGACGCACACCTGCCCGGCTCCACGTTTATCAGCAGTTCCTTTTCCTAGCTAACAAAGACGATTTCCTCCCGAAAGTTCAGTCTTTTGTGGCTGATTTCGGAAAAGCCAGGATCCACGCGTACACGAATCACCCTCTGCTCCTCCAGGGGTTTTCCAGTGAGTGGATGCAGCCCTGGCAGGGCCCTTCCCGTCACGCTATTACCCTGAAAACAACCGTTTGTCTCTGGTCACGGAGAGGACGAAGCCCGGTCTTGTTGTCAAGTTTCTTTTTCACCTTTAAGTGCTTTCAGCTGTTTGTGGATGTCGCTGATGGTTTCCCATTCAAAGGGTTACAAGGGGAAACAATTCAGCCTTACGGTGCATCACCAGGCAGACAGGGCGAGCTGACAACCCCGGCATGCCTGGATGGGCCAGGTGACTAATCATTTCTTTTCACTCCAAGTCCAGAAAGCGCACTGCCAATGTAGCTACGGTCTGCCTTCAGTATTACCCAGGCAGGCACCTCGGAATGGTTATGAACAAGTGACACACTTTCTGTCAACACCTCGTGCGTTACTCGCTAGGGAGAAATATCCCGCGAGGCGTGTGTTTGGTGGAACGAGTGTGCCCGTCTGAGGTGAGAGTTGTTTGTTTGCAAAGAACGGGGGTCCCTTTGCCAAAGGGTTTCTGTGGCACAATGGGACTTTAGGTAAAACCCCAAAGAGCTTGGAATAAGACTGCAAGGGTTGGTGACGCTGGGTGCCCACAAGTGTGCCTGCTGTTACTCGTTCTGGGTTAATGTAACTCAGTGTTTCTCAAACTGGGGACGCCGCTTGTGCAGGGAAAGCCCCTGGTGGGCCAGGCCGGTTTGTTTACCTGCCGCGTCCGCAGGTCCGGCCGATCGCGGCTCCCACTGGCCGCGGTTCGCTGCTCTGGGCCAATGGGGGCTGCAGGAAGCGGCGCGGGCCGAGGGACGTACTGGCCGCCGCTTCCAGCAGCTCCCATTGGCCTGCAGCGGCGAACCGCGGCCCGTGGGAACTGCAGGCGGCCGTGCAAATGTAAACAAACCATCTGGCGGCCCGCCAGGGGATTACCCTGATGGGCCGCATGTGGGCCCCAGGTTTCCCACCACTGCCCTATGGTGTGGGGCCCTGGGCAATTGTCCTGCTTGCTACCCCTTAACACCGGCCCTGGCTTTTATA